CTTACATTTTTCTTGTGTTTTATTTTTTTCCATTGAAGCACACTTCTTTTTGTCACTTAGAATTAAAAAGGCTGTTTTTGTTTTTTTAGAGATCAGTTGTGACTGGCTGCCCTGTATTAGGCCTCATTCAAGCAATTCAAGCAATCCAAGCTGAAACACTTCATTTCAAAATGAATAAGCAGAGCTAAATATCTATTTGTCTATCTATCTATCTATCTATCTATCTATAAAATCACTGTTTTCCGAAGAAAACCTTGTATTTCCAAAATGATAACTTTACAGGAGAAGGAAAAAACCTACTTTATTTTTAATGTAAGTCAGTGGAACCAGAATTATTTCCAAGTCATTTTGGGCCATTTCTTTTGGTCCATTCCTCATGAAAATTTACACACAATATAAAGGGTAACAGGTATTTTCAAATTATGTCAACAACTAAAAAACGACAAAAATGGAGATATGAGATTTTCTTCTGACAACAGGTATATATATATATATATATATATATATATATATAAAACAAAACAGCCTATTTTTGCAGCTTAATTTCCATATATCGAGTCTATGGAAGGGGCACTAAATGGTATGTTTTGAATCTTTAACAATGTTTACATACTACATATCAAACTGTATTATTAAAAAAGTGGGGTTATTCATGAGACATTTCAAATATACTTTTTTTAAATTTAATTTACAAAGATACTCTTTTGAAAGTAGTTACTTTCCTACTCTTTATGGTCATCTGATTCTCAGTTTTTGCTGGCATTCAGCCATATTTTTTTTTATTTTAAAGATTAGAACTTAAGGTCAAGAACCAGAACAAGGTGGAGTCCTCAGGAGTGGACAACATATCATCACTGTACAAACATCTCCAGTTTTGTCTATCTTTATTTTTCCACATTTGAACATGGCAGTTGTCCTTTAAATTGTGTGAAAATTTCATGATGATGGCAATAAAATAAATGCTCCAAACTTTCTTGCAATAAAATTACATTAAGGGTTAAGATCATTTTTGCCCTCTTCTATAAAGTTACCATTTTGGAGATACTTGTTTGTCTTTGGACAGCAATCATATGTTGACCCTCTGACAGAGACCTTTAGGTTCACTTGTCCTTCCTCTGGCCCCTTCTTGGTGCCTCTGATCAAGACTGTTCATTGCAACCTAAAACTGAAAACTGATATAAGAAATATTCTGTCAAAAGTGCTGATTCTAATTTCCACCAATACCAAGTTTGTGTTTATAAGTAGAGGAGGAGATATTTTATTGATTTGAACTTGATGACTGTTGTGCACACAGTCTTGTGGTGCAGCAAGAAAAAACATATTTTACATTTTTGCCCAACAAACAGGAACAAATAAAAAAAATGTGGAACTGCAGATGCGAAACTGTCAATACACAATGTAAAAATAAGTAAGTGTGAGTTGTGTAACTATGTACTTAAGTAATTATGTTTTAACAGAATAGCAAAATGACAATAAGACTACAGTTATATTCTAATGATTGATTGCCGACAGGTCAGTCTTGATCCATAAATAACTGCACATTGTACGGCTGCTATAAACTGTAGTCTGAGCTTTGATCGTCAGGTCAAATGAGATGGCAGCTTGTTATTCCAGTTTGAGGAATGAGCTCTAAGCAGTTGGATTGTTCTGTGGACAATGACAATGGGGCCTGATTTCCTAGTCTTCAGAGAGCTTGAGCTGGCCTGCTCCTGCAGGTGACACGCAGGCAGTCTCAATGTGGAGCATGTCATACTCATCTATAAGAACTAGGCCTGCGCTTAAAGGAGGACACTGCCTTTATTTTGAGCCTGGGCAGAGGATTAATTGCTTTGTTTTAAATAGTGCCAGTGTTTAATGAGAAACGTACAACAGTCACTGGTCCTGTCCAAGGCTCACCTTGAATTAGTTTCATCACTTAATGCTGTGATAGAGAAGGCCTCAACAGCTGGTGGCATCGGTAATGACAATATTTCCTTGAAAAAAAAGATTATATTAAGAGATATTAAGTCACATAATAGCTCAATTACAGAACATTACATATAATTTTCTTTTGACACAAACAGAAAATGGGCACATTTGTTTTATACAAACACTTAATATGCTATGGGTATGTCTGTAATTTGATAATGTTGAAGTATCTACGTAACGGCCATAAGCACTATTAGAGTACAGGCTGTTATTTGTCTAAGCTAAATTTGAATTTTAAAATAATTGGTTTTCAGATTTAAATAAATATAAAAGCTACAATTATATACAAAACTTTGAACAATTCTACTCAAATTACATGTTTTGTTAATCTGAAAATAAGTTGACACATCTACAGTTAACGCACCTAAAATGTTTGTTTCTTTTTCAGTGCAGAAATTCTATTTATTTGCAGAGTTTAACATATTGGAAAAAATAAAACATAAAATTTACAATGTGCCATAATTTTTGCACAGGTCACATTTTATTTTTAATTGTTTACCAATATGTTAAAGGTGCAGTGTGTAAGATTTTGGTAGATTTATTGGCAGAAATGGAACATAGTATACAAAACCATGCTTTCATTAGTGTATAACCACCTGTTACTCGGAATCGTTGCACTTCCGTTAGCATAGAATGAGCCCATTATATCTACAGACAGCGGGTCCTCTTCCAACATGTTTCTACAGCAGCCCAGAATGGACAAGCCAAACACTGGCTCTAGAGAGCGCCTTTCATGGTTTCGTGTCCGCAGCTTAAGTTAGGTGGCGCTACAGCACTGGTTGGAAGACACCGAAAGAAGAAGAATTGGTGGTTGCTACTGGTGCTGACTAGCAATTCTGTGTTGTGGGAATTTTGGTAACCCAAATTTTGACAAAAGGAGGATTATACTTATTACTCATTACTATTACTTATTACTAGTGCAAGAGAAAGCAAGGGAGGGTGAATCCTTGTCATCAAGGAAGTGAAGACAGCCAGTGTAGGTTCTACTACATGCTTGGAAAAGGAGGGGTGAGGGAGGGGTGTTCAGTTGGTTGCAAACTGTAAACTCACTGCTAGATGCCACTAATCTTACACACTGCACCTTTAAATTCAGCAACTAAACAGTAATTGTGCATTAAAATATATGAAACTGTGCTCTCTGTAGGGATGTGTTAACTTGTTTTAACTTAGAAAATCAATGAAACTTGTAATTTGACCAGGGGTGTCCAAACTTTTGCATATGACTGTTTAGATAAAGATTGACCAAGGACTGACCTTTACCTGCTGTAAAGATATGTAGGGTTTGAGTAACACAACCTCACTATAATTATAAGCAAATTACATCTGCATTTAAATAACTGTGTTGACACTATGAGATAAACACTACTGACTCAGTAAAACGTTTAGATCAGGAGTGCCCAAACTTTGTGTCTTGGGGGGACAAAGTGCAATGTTTCAGGTAGGTTTCAAATTATACATTGCACTACATTTTGTTACTAAAGTATGTCAAATATTTTTAAATGGCAAATTAGAATTGAATAAGTTGTATAGAGTGTATGTAGTATATATATATATATATATATATATATATATATATATATATATATATATATTATATATATGTATTCCTTTTGGATGTGTGGTTAGTGTAATCGTCTGGTGGGCCAAATCAAACATCCTCATTGGCCAACTCTGAGCAACCCTGGTGCAGATACAGCCTACTGAACCCACTGCTGAATGTGATGAATATGTGTGACCCACATTTTTTGTGATTACATAAATGCACCAAAATAGTTCCTTATAAGTGTCCTTGTCAGCACTGTCAGACAGGTTCAACAGTCGCTCTGCATTGCAGTTTGCTAATTTTATTTGATGGTATTTTATACAATATTTATAATATAGTTATAATATATCATATATAGTAACATACATTTACTATAACTAACTATATACCATACCTAATTTTATTTTTTCTAGTAAGTTAGCGTATATGTGGCTCAAACCTTTTATGATCTATGTTTTTGATATCTGACTCCTGACTAAGCCAAATGAATAAAATAAATAATCAGGCTAAATGATAAACAATGCATATAAATAAATAAATAAGTTAAAGTCTAATCTTTGGGTACATACTGGGCTATATAAAGATATTTTCTTGTTATAATAAATCATGTCACAATATGTTTTTCTAAATAATTCATTACAAAATGAGCATATTTAGACCTGTTTAACTTGATTTAGTGCACTGCAGTTTGTAAAAAACTGAATAAAATCACTTTAGTTGTGGGTTTATTATGAGTATTATAGTATTTTTAAATGTGGCACTACAGGGTTTATCTTATTAAAACTAATTTAACCTCAGAAAAACTAAATATCGTGATACATATCGTGTATCGTGAAAATGTCTCAAAGTATAGTGATGTAATATTTTTGCCTTATCGCCCACCTTAGCATATACACATAGAAGAATACAGCACTTCATCAGTCTAACTCAATGAATCAATGAGTCAATGAATCGATGCGCATTTAGATATGCACCTGCTTTTGTGAGTGATAATTATTCAGTTACCGATCGTAACCGGTAACCCAGTCGCTGTGTTTACTGTGATCCACGGACAAAGAGAATAAAGTCCACCTGATCCTGATCACCCAAACTTGGCCGCCCTCACCTTTTAACGCCTGGAGCGGTAATTGGCCGGCGGATGGTGGCAATCACCCCCAGCCCAGACAGGCCTGTCGGAGGCGGACGGTAATTGGTCTGTTTTATTATTTTATTTTTCCGCCTCTGCCTGGTCTGCAGCGGGCAAAGCGGAGCTCCAGCTCGGCCATTTGGGCTGGTTTGGCCCGTCCGCTCCCCCGGCGCTGCCCGGCTCTCTGTAGCCGTAATGGCGTCCGTTTCACAGGCAACAGGCCCCACTTTGTTTTGCTGGGGTCGCCCGTCTCCGCCTGCCTGCCGCCGATTGGCTAGAAGCCCGTCTTCGAGGCGCAAACGCCGGGCCGCGATTGGCCGAGGGTGCGTCTGTCGCGCTTCGATTGGTCGAGACGGCCGTCAATTACAGGCGTCGAGGGGGAGGGAATCGACGGTTGACTGAAGAGAAGCCCAGGCTCGCGTGTTGCCTTAACGTCCAGGCGGCAGCAGCAAGCAGCAGCGTCCGGCTCCGCCTGCCCGATCTGCCCGCTGTTGCGCGGAGCTCCGGATGCTCCTTTCCCTCCTCCGCTCCTCCGTTTTCCTTCGGCGGATTTATGCTCATGCTGCTCGGAACCACATCACGGTAGGTTAGCCGCCTCAGCGAGCACACCGCACCGCACGCCGGAGTCGATGGAGAAAATAAGTTGACTGCCTCCGGAAGAATTTGTTTTCCTCGCCTCGAGGAAGGGAAAAGGGGGGATTTTTTGCTCGTTTCGTCGACGCGATGGGGGCTTCAGGACCGGAGGAGCTTCGGCGATTTTGACACGGCGAGAGACGCCACCTTTCAGAGAGATATTTTCTTTTCGAGTCCACCAAAACAGCCCCCTCGGTTCCGGAGTGCCGTCCACCATCCACCCAGCCAGCCTTCCCTGCTCGGTACATGGTCGCTCTCCGGCGCTCCATAACGCACCGTCGGGGATATATGGAGGGGATTTCGTTCACTTGCAGCCCTGAAAGCGAGTGAGTTTAGCCGGCTAGCGAGCACCAGGGTCAGTGGCGGTGGCCTTGGGCGAGAATCCAGTCCTAACTTCTCCAAAAAAACTGCATGCAGCCTCCTCCGGCCGTGGAAGCAGCCTCGGCTCCGGACCAGCCAATATGGCCAATGTGAAGAAGTCTAAAAGATGAATGTTGCATTCCCCACTTAACCCACATTCAGTTTCGCACTCAGAAAAAGAGGGAAACGAGGGCCCCGGGTTGTTTCGAGCGCGGAGAGCTTCGCCACCTCCACCATGAGGGAGATTTAAGGCCGTGCAGGATCTCTGGACTGAGGGGGGAGTGGGATTTTTGTTCGTCACATCATCGTTTTGTTTTATTTTCATTTCTTTGGTTTAGTTTTAGCCTTGTTTTCCTCCAGTGAGGGTCATTCTGGATGTGCACGGTCGTGATTGTTGTGGTCTGCTTTTGGAAAATAAATTTGTGGTGCTTGGGCACAGAGAGCAGATTTCCCAGAAGTAGGTCAGATCATATGGAAGATAACGCATAGAGTTGGCTCTATGAGAGTGAGTGCACTCATGTTAGAACGACATCTTGTCACACTTCTTTTGATCTGTTCCAAGCAGTTTTGTTTGGATTTCCATATGTCCATTGGATAGATGGCAGGCCAATGATAGTTTGACGACCGCTGCTGCTATCTCGACAGCCTCCCATCTCTTCGCCCGTTTGATCTCTTCGGAGACCCCATTTTCGCTCTTGCCCCCTCTTTTTGTGTTTTCTTTTTTTTTTGCCTCCCCTCTTTTTTCTGGCTGTTGAGTGAATGGCTCTTTGCGGGACGACGGCGACCAATGCCGCAAAAATGATGGCAGCGTACAGCGGCGGCGCTTCGGCCGTGGCGGCCCATCACCCGCACCACCACCACCAGCTGCCACACCTTCCGCCTCCCCACCTGCACCACCACCACCACCCGGGCCAGCACCACCTGCAGCACCCCGGCTCGGCCGCGGCCGTACACCCCGTACAGCAGCAGCACGCCTCCGCTGCTGCTGCGGCGGCCGCCGTCATGCTGAACCCGAGCCAGCAGCAGCCGTACTTCCCTTCGCCTGCTCCCGGGCAAGCCCCCGGCCCTGCAGCGGCAGCGGCACCAGCCCAGGTCCAGGCGGCGGCGGCGGCGGCCGTCAAGGCGCACCATCATCACCACCAGCACGCTCACCACCTGCAGCAGCAGCTGGACATCGAGCCGGACAGACCCATCGGGTACGGAGCGTTCGGCGTGGTCTGGTAAGTATCGACCTGCTCCGTTAAAGCAGGTTCATGCCTGTTTTGTCATTGCTTTAACAACATAACTCTAGGCCAGGGGTGTCAGACTCCAGTCCTGGAGGGCTACAGCTCTAAAGAATTTTGCCTTCTACTTCTCTTCAAACCTGTGGGCTGTCTATGGGCCCACCCTAAAGTTATTCATAGTAATTACTGAATGATAAGTCATAAGATTAATAACTGCATAATAAGCGGGTTCAAGGAGTTAACAAACTTATTAACTAATTAGAAAAGATTTCATGAGTTGAAATTGCAGAGCTGTGGCCCACCTGTACATGGGTTTGACACCCCAGCTGTGGGCTTTAATTCAGTTATTCAGTTATAGTAACTCTAGAGCTTATAATCCGGTAACTGGTATGTATTATTGAGGGAACTGGTATGCAAGGTATGTGCCTAATCCCTTAATGATCTGGCGCGTTACAAGCCATATTATTCGGTAATTACATGGAAAACAGTGCTAACTGAGTTATTCTTAAGTTAAATGTCCATTTAAGGAGTTAAAATAGGAGCAAAAGTTCTGAACCGCTAACAGGTCCTTAGAGTTTAAGGAGTTAAATTACAGCTATAAAGTTGAAGTGGCAGTGAACTTATGAACTTGGTGGCCTGGTGGAGCTACTTGACTCCTGGTTCCCACATGACATCTGTTGGCCATCACGAGGCAGAATCTGTGTCGCTTTTTCACCAAAATCATGTCGAGGACTGTCTGCCAGCTTCATGCCTGCTTCTGGGAGCCATGGGGACGGGTGACGTCCCTGCATCTGTCAGGCCTCTGACGGTGGAGACAGGGGAGAGCTTTTTGGCACAAAGCACCTCTCCAAGGGAACATCACCCTACTTAAGAGATAAGCTGACATAAAGAGTCAGGAATTAGGCCCTGTCAGTTTTAGTCCCTGCATCTGAGGCAGAGTTCTTAACCTGTGGATTTTCTGATGTTTGCTTTGGTCTATTTTCCACCTCAGGTACAGACACAGCGCTCCAGAACAAAAATGATTAATCAGGCAGTGAGAGGCTTTTGATGTTTCGTGGCTGAGCCAGCCGGTAGTTAGACTGCACATCTTTTCTCTGTGATAAACTTTTATAGTTCTGTAAGCATTCTGTAAGGAAATAAATTGTGGTCGACTGTGACTGGGCGGACAACCGAGGCAGTCTGCTTAAGATATGAAGAGCTGACTTATGTTGTCTCCAGACGAAGAAGAATTGGGCTTTGCAGCAATATCCTTTAGAATAAACATCCTATTGTCACAGGGGTGATTCAGCCTTGTGCTTTACGGAAATGTTCGTCTGGAGAATTTGTGGCAGAACTCATTTAAAGTGACTGAATTGACAATATAAAGTAAAGACACCATAACAGAAAACCGTGCTTGAAAGTGCTTTCATTTTACATGCTGTGCTTTGTTTCCACTTTTCTCTGTTGTCTTTTTTCTTCCATATACAGGTGCTTTAACTCATCAGTTGATTATCAAGTTATTTCTGTGAGTTTGCACAGGGAGAACACTAAGCTTTACGATGGTGCTGCTCTCCAGGGTTTGAGCTTGAGATTCTTGCTTAAGCACAGGCTCATCTTTGTACAAAAGTAATAAGAAACTTTTTTATAAGTTTGTTTAATAAGGATGACACTCAAGGTAGACCTTATGTTTTATTAATAACAAGAACTTGATGCAAAAAGCTATGTAAAGCATAAATCAGTACTGGCTAGTCCTGAAAGGAGTCAGTTGCATGTAAATATTAAAGGGAGATGTGTTAACCCTCATACGTCTAAAGTTATCACTGTTGTTTTGCTGTATTACTTAAATGTAATAGTGTAAATGTTTGTTTCAGTGTCATTGAGGGAAGATGGCAAAAAGTTAAAGAACGCTTTTGTCCAGAAAACGTGGCTGTGTACACAGTAATAAAAAATAAACAACATAACACACCAAAATAACATGACAATTCAAATCAAAATTACATCATTATTTCTGTTTACAGACACAAATGTACAGTACAGCCCAAAAGAGATCACCCTTTATTTAATTTCCAGTCAAAACAGCCATTAACTAAGGTGTTCATTTTTCAGTGTCAGGAAAAATGTCAATAATATATATTTAACAGAAAATTACACAGAAGCTTCAACAACTAAATATATTTTTTCCTCTGTTTATCATGTCTGTGTTTAATTTATTGCACCTTCCCTTTTTTTAGAGAGACTTGGGTTCAGTTTTTCAAAGAAATGCCTAGAGATATTTGAAAGTCCAGCCTTAGAAGTTGTTTGCATTTTCTGCTTCTCATGACCCACATAATCACAAACACATTCAGTGATGTTGAGGGCTGGACTCTGGGGTGGTCAGTCTGTTGTTCTGAGAACACCAGCAGCTTATTTGTTTGATTTGTATGTTTTCTTTTCTTGGTAAGATCTTCCTGACAGCTACATCGTTTCAAATTCGCAGTGTTGAGTTGTCTTCTCACAGTGGAAGGATGAACAGAAACACCTGTGGATTTTTCAGATCTGAAACAAAAGTGGAGCTGGATTATCTCAGAGATTAAAGTACTGCTTATCTGTTGTGTGATTAGCTTTGATGGTCTACCAGGTCTTGCATAGTTGTTGGGAGTCCAATTTTTCTGCATTTTTTAGTAATTTTTTGAACTCTAGTTTTGGAAACTCCTACTTTTTCCACTTATTCTCGTTTGACTTTCCCCTTCCTTCTGCAAGTATATAATTTTTTTCTGATCTCCTCAAAAAGATCTCTTGAAAATGAATAACGTTTATTAATGGCTGGCTATTAATGGCTGTTATGCTTTCTCAGAAAAAAAGGCACGAAACTGTCACAGTGGTGGTATCCTCAAGGGTACATCTCAGTACCTTTAGTCGGGGAACATAATTATACCATAAGCCATTAAAATTATATTTTCTAAGTTGCATTGACTCCACACACCCTGTCTCGGCTCCAGGCTTTTTATCTTATTGTTCTGTTTTAAAACATTAAAAGGTACAAATATGTACTTTTCACCTGGGAGAAACTTATTTAAGGTACACAGTTGTACCTTAAAACCTCTGTTGTACCTTTGAGGGAACATTTACATTGTTTGTACCTTGATGAACAAAAAATGTACCTGCACAGAACCTTTATTTCTAACAGTGTGACTGGAAATTAAATAAATGAGGAGTGGTCTCTCACTTCTCCACAGCACAGTAGTGTTGATTAAAAGTTTGAAACCTGCACTTTTGACGGAGTTTCAGTGAGCTTTGAGTGAGAGATAAATAATATTGGATTAAGGTTAAGTTAGTGTGAGAACTAAACTTTGTAGGTGCATAGATGTGCAGGTGCAGTGTTTGGCAACTCTTACATAAAGTATGCACAAACTAGTAAAACGCATTTACTGTTGGGAGAAATCCTCCGAACGAGCACCTGTGAGGCTCATAATATGGCCCAATAAGCATGCGCCAGTCTACCTTGTGTCACTGGCAATTCAGAGGGCTGTCAATCATTGACCTTCTTGAGCGAAATAAAGACTCTTGCTCTTTAGATGGATTCATCCATGAAGGGTGCCTGCAGAGAGGCCACAGTCTTTCTCTCGCACTTCCCATCACCAGCAGTCACCCTGCCTGCGGAATCTCAGCCTGACCTTTCCTCAAAATCGCTTCCTGGTGCTCATTGTCTGCTTTTAATCTGCGCCATGTATTTTTAGCCGTCCTCCAGAGGCCTGGCCGCAGAGCCGGTCTCATCCAGGGCTTCCTCCTCAGGCCTGTTGGAGTGGAGCGAGGCCAGGAATATCCCCACTGCAGCCTCGAACCCGACCTGCTAACCATGCTAGCATGCAAGAGTATTGAAGGGGGGGCGCTTGCATAGGAAGATTCGACGCAGCGGGTTAATGGTCTATGAAACGGTGGCCGCAGAAGGAAAGCAAATGAGTATCAAAAGAGAATTAGAACGAGATTGGCCTCTTTGTAATGTGCGGAGCATGGGTTTTGGAGAGCGCACTAAAGTGTAGTGAGTGCTCTCTGATGCATGCAGCTGTGAAAGGTTGAGTAAATTGGCTTTGGCCCTGGCATGGAGAGAGCCGGCGTGTCGTGTGTATAGCTGCGTGTTCGGTCCAGATGGAGCTGGCCTTTTCAAATTAAAATTCAGTTCCCTGTCCCAGCCTCTTTCAACTGTATGCTAAGTAGAGATGGTATTGTAACTACACAGTTCACGTAGATCTGTAACGACAGCTTTTTCCAGCTAAGCGTTTTAGTGCTTTATTTAAAGTCGCCTAGATATACGCACTGCACAAACCTTTCACAGCGAATATCAAAGCAGCTGTGCGTGCAGTGTAGACTCATGGTGTAGGTCTATTACTTTGTCCCCACAGAAAGGAAATTAAAGTATGGGGAAAAATATGAAATAATTTGACGTTTTATGTAAAATAGACACTTTTGATAAGCCTCTCTGGCATTTTCTAGCCAGCAGGAAATGAAGTGGTGCAGTGCTGCTTTGCTGAAATATAAGGAAATGGGCATTTCTGTTGTAGCATTGCAGAAGAACCAAAAAAATCTTTACACCTATAAACACGAACGGATAAAAAGACAGATATAAAAAATTTGCATTGGCCACTTGGGCCACTAAGCCAATGAATCCTATGGCTAAATGGGTATACTGCAGTACCTAAGACAGTCAGATGATGCTTTAAAACAAGAAATATTTATTAAAAACTTTACATTGTTAAAAAAATATTGTTCTTGTGGTTGTGTGGTGCCCTCCTGCCAATCTGGTCGGCTCTGACGTCACCCAGTTTAGTTTGTTTCATTAGGTACTGTTTAGCTACTGCAGCGATAAGCTGGCCTTTACACCAGTAGTTTCTGTGCCACCTTTATTTGTTTAAGACCCTCTTTCATAGAGTGGTATTAGAAAATTTGATCTGAAGTCAAGCAGGCCAGCTTGGCAGCGAGGACCACCATGGTCATCATCACCAACAAAATCTGAATTGATGCAATTAATTCTGTCCAACTGA